CGCGGGGTTTGAGGGCAGTCAGTCGGTCAGATTGGGATTGCTGCCCGACTTGGAGGCAACGCGAAGCCGAGGTTAGCGAATGCGGTACACTGGAAAATAGTACCCACGCAAGCCGAGATCGACCAAACCTCCAAGGGTCCTCAGTTCCCCAGGCTGCGGAGATGAGTCGCGCGAGCGTGCATACATAGACGCCACCTTCTGAAAGATGGGCCCCCGACCAACCAGAGGTTTGATGCGCTGCTGTGCTTGCAGTACGGTAGGTAGACTGCTGTCCATCTACGTAGTTTTCTCTCCCCGCGGGGCGGGAGATCGGCGCAGGCGGCGGCCGTCTTCATGTTGAGGCCAGCCAGTCAAGCACTCACACACCGCCTGTTCCAGCAGCCCAGGCGGACCGATTGGGCACGAACGACCCGACTTATCAGCCGCCACCCCTCCCCGGCCTTGTCTCCTCCAGCTCGGTTTGCCGCGCTTTGGAACCTCACACCCGCCGCCCGCATGCCTCTCGCGTGGCGACAGGCCTTAGGGCCTTGGGGGAAGGGGGGAGGGGGTCGTCGTCGCCCAATACGTAGCCCAGATACACCGGCCTGGGTCGATCACCTGCATGAGGCTTACAAGTAGATGTCCAGGGAAGCCATGTCGATATATCGCACGCACTTCACCAAATAACCGTAGGGCAAAAAGATCGACGGTGAGGCGCCGCCGAGGCAGGCAGCATCTTCAAGGACCAAATCCGTCAACCCCAAAGTGTGTGTGTGTTTGGCTGCCTTTCCCCTCTTTTTTCCCCGTTTGGCTAAACTCAGATCCAATGTGAACCCAACAAGATGATCCAATGCTCCTTCTTCTTATCTTTATCTCTCTTTTTACTCAGGGTTGCGTGCCTGCGATTATGAATTTTGGACATGTACAGCGCTTAACCGCCGAATTCTGGGAAACTCGATGTTGATCATGTGTCAATTCGTATCTTTGATTGCAACAAGGGTTACAAAGGTTCGTGCGTAAATACAATACATACACAGTTGCTCCGAGGTTGCCCTCGGAGCCAGAAGAGAAGAAAAATCAAAGATAGAAAGAAGAAAAAAGCGAGCAGACAAAAAAGCCGACCATGAAAGAAGCAAGACCATGCCCAAGAGTAACCAGGCATTAGAAAACAACAAAAAACCTCCCCCCATTCCCACCCAACGTACTCGTGAGAGTATACCAGCTTGATCTACAGCAACCCCCTAGGTATACATGAAATCTACAACAGGAAGAACACACACACACACACACACACACACACGCGCAGGTAAATACACTCACGCCCCTCCATCCTCCTCCGTACACGTACTCTACCGTTTGTCAGCTTCTCAACATACATACCCTTTTTTGTTATCATCTCGTCGTTTGCAAGTATCCGGCCTCACTTTTCCTCGCTTTTCGTTGGCCACCCCCACCCCGCCCATCGCATTCATTGTCCGTATTCCCTCCAGAATAAAAGAAAAAAAAAGAAAAGAAAAATGCTTTCCGGTACGCCCACTTATGACCGTCCCGTGTACAGTAAATTCCTTTCTTCCCTTTAAAAAATCTCCCTTCCAGCACACACACATCCCTTACAGCATACGCCCTTAAAAAGAAGCGCATATCTCACCCTCTCTCTTGTGCACTTCCCCTAGCATCTCGCTCGACTCGGGAGCAGACGACCAGTTGGTTTGTACCGGTGGGATGTGTGCCATGCATCATTTCCCAAGAAGGCGAGCAAGGAACTGTCTCAAAAGAAAGGAGGGGGAAAAGAAAGAAAGAAACCGTGAATGGGCGCCCCGTTAGGGATGCTGACATAGATACCTGATACCAGCCCAACCACCTGTTGAGATGCGAGAATGATGAGAGCAGTTATCCTCCTTCATGAACTCCAAATCCGCGTGTCATCGTGTTTGCTGTACGTCTCTCGTAACAAGAATCCCCGAATGCCGAGAATGTACATTTGGCAAGGGTAGGGGAGGAGGAAGGAAACCGAGGCCGACATGGGCGTGCGTGGTGACCTGAGAGGTATTCGTATATTGGGGGTTGATCTCAGGCCTAAGTAGCCAGTCGATCCCTTCCACGGCCCTTCCCTTATCTACTCCCTTGATGGGAACCGGAGCCTGTTTGGGCTCCGCCGCCGTTGCCACTTGATTCTTCGTTTGCCTCGTACTGATCAAGGCAGGCCTCGAGAACTGGGGAGCGAGGGATTGTCAGCTTCTCGTGCCCGCTTATGGATGCTCCTGGGTGGGGTACGGTTTGCGCAAGACTTACTCTCGATAATCTGCTGCTCCCAAACTCCGTATTGGTAGTCGACGAGGCCGTGGCGCTCAATGCCGTCGCAAAGCCGAATCAGTTCTTTGCCCATCTTTTCCAATCCTTCTTTGGTGACAAGGGTTTGTGATCGTTGTAGCTGCCTTCCCGGTTCCATCATGTCCTTCTGCATCTGAAAGAGTGCAAGCCATGCGTGGTTGAAGTCGTTCCAGAGCTTGATCCGGTCTCCGTGTAGGTTTTGATCGTCAAGGTTGAGACCTGAAGCCAAGTGCCCTTGTCAATAATGCGGTCCAAAATGTCAAGCCAGGGCCATGGCGCGTGTGCTGTTCAGTGCTTACCGAGATCAACAACCTGTGTTAAGAGCCAGTTCGATACATCCAAGAGCGACTGGCTAGCGCTTTCGAGCACGCCGTTGCGGACGTTCTGGAAGACGCCCCGCAGTGCTGACTGGTATTCCATCCATTTCTCTTCCAAGCCACCCGTGGCAGCGTAGTCTTGCTCTTCCATGGATACGTCGGCACTCGCTGTCTGCTGCGGCATCCCGCCCACGTTGGAGATGTTGGTCTGGTAGTTTGCCATCTGCGGCTGTTGGTATGCGGTTGCGTTGGCGCTCGCGGGTTGCGCATGGGGAATATTGGACGTTCCTGTGCTACTGCTCGGATCGTTGGAGAAGTACGACGTCGACACATCCGTTGGCAGGATGGGAGCAGCTGCAGGTTGCCGCTGGAACTGTGCCTGGTTATCGTAAACGGAGCCCGTCGCGCCAGCCAGATTGTCGTATCCCATGGTCATGGCCGCGTTGTATCCGCCAAAATTCTGTGCCGGGCGGCCATCCTGGCCATAGCCCGAGGGGTAATGCATCGTGTTAGTCGCCATGGGCGCGTTGAAAGAGCCCGCTACCGGTTCTTGATAGTTGTATGTGCTGTAGCTACCCGTGCCTCCCATGCTGCCCCGCGGTTGCGAGGGCGAAGTGTTGAGTGGCGCCGGCCGGTTATATCGCTCTGTCGAACCTGTGGCCATGGTGCGGCGCTGCTGCAAGGGATCTTGGACGTTGTATCTTGGGTTGGAGGTGGGATGCATGGGCGCTTCATTCTGCCTCCGACGGCGGTTGGGATCATCCATCCCACGAGGGGCTTGGTCGCCGGGCAGCTCCGATGGCAGGCCTGCCGTGTGCGCCGGCGGCAACGGAGCTGGCGATGTATAGAGCAATGCCAGGTTGGGCCGTCGGATCGGTCAGTGGACCGTCCAGTCGTGGCGTTTGAGTGCGGCGGAGGACTCAACCCGTTCACTTCCTCTCTTCGTCCTCCTCTCTATTCCCAGACTAGCGTAGCACGCCGGCGACGAGACCAACTGGCGATGGGTTGTACGTTGAAAGTTGGTCGGAATCGCGCGCGGAGCTCTCTCCTCTCTTTCTCCCTCCCAAGTGTATATGCTTCGACCTAGCAAAAGAAAAAAGAAAAAAAGAAAAACAAGTAACCTGGCGTGTCGCAGCGGAAGAGTGAAGGAGGATGGATCTGGATACGACCAGGCGGCACCGACGGCGGGTAATAACGTCGCGTGATAAGGTGTTGGTCGGGTTATGGTTCGAATAGGAAAGATGTCAAAAGAAACAAAAGGTAAGGAAGCGTTGACTTGGGGGTCGGAGAGCCGGGTGTGTGATATCGGCGTAGGGTCTGTCTGATGTCGAGCCGTGCAGAGGGCAGCACGGGATGGGCTGGCAGGTTCCTCGGGCGACAGGTAATAGAAGTGGCTTTTATGATTTGGATTGGGAAGGAATATGACGGGCGAGGTGAAGGATGGGGAGACCAAGGAAGTTAACTGTCCAGACTTGCTTGTCGCGACAAGCTCGGCGAAGCTAGCGCCCGCCTATTTCATGCCCTGACGCCTGAAAGTTCGGGAAGACAAGACGAAAGAACTGGCGACGAGTCGTCGATGTCGTGTGAGTGGGCAGCGAGGTTTAGATTCTGGCAAACAAAACACCAGCGAATAGGGTGGATATCGTGCTGGGTTGTCAAACTAGTGTTAGGTTGGGTACCAGGAAGATCCTAGGTGCAGCGTTCGAGACGATGTCCAACATTACAAGCCGGTCCTTGCGCGATCTGCTTGGGCATACCGGTAGAAGCTGCACCAGGGTCCCAGCAATCACCGAGTCGCCGTGACGCAAGATGCGATTCGTCAGAGGAAGAGCAAGTGCCGGCCGGACCGATCTGGCCCTGAAATGAGCAGAATAGGTTGGAGTCCCGATGCTCAGGCTTGGCCAGGGAGAGGGAGGCTGTGTGGCGTGGACGTGGGCGTAGTGGGTGCTGGGTTGGGGCTCGCGGTGAGGCTCGCGATTTGGATGGAGCTGTACCAAGAACCACTTTTGCTGCTCGTAGCTTAGTGCTGCGAGCCTAGATGCAAGCCTATGCAGACTTGGAGAGGGGAGGGGGCACAGCTGGCACAGAATAACAGGGTAAGCCTGTGATGCTGATGAGAGAAGCTATGGAGCGGGTACGGCTCGTGGGTGTGGAGGGTGATGTGAGCGGTGGTCTCAGGGTTCAGACTTATAACATTGGAGGGATGCATGTATGGGTCGATGCCGGCAGGATTCAGCAGTGAAAAGACGGCGGGGATTGGAAGGGAGTAAGGGGAGGAAGAGGAAAATAAGAAAAGCAACACAAGGGTAGATGGAAGAAAAGAAGGGGGGAAAAGCAACGATGATCCAAGAGGAGACTTGGACTAAAAATGGGGGGGGGGGGGACTGGGTACGTGGGTGTTTGAAGGTAGGTGTGTGAGAAACGAATGAGGGAGAGAGTGTGTGTGCGTGTGCGTATACAAGAATGTGAGAAGAACGGGAAGTTAAGGTGAGGCGGAATAAGAAGGGACGCACGGACAAGCAGACACTTACCTTTCACTCCAAAGGGGAACAAGTATGCCAATTATGGATGCCAGAAGTTCCAAGTCCCAGAAAGTCTGCACCGAGATGGGGATGGATGAGACTATAAAGAAGATCCGAACCTAGCTGGCAGAGATATGAGAACAGCAGGCGAGGGAGAGAGAGAGAGAGAGAGAGAGAGAAAGAGAGAAAGAGAGAGAGTGTGTGTGTGTGAGACAGAGAGAGAGGGGGAGGGGGGTGGAAAAAAAAAGGCAAAAGTACTACCACCGGACGATGGTAGGTAGCGTGTATGCAGAGCCAAAGAGTAATGAACCCGGTAGACAGCGCTGTGATCAAGGAAGTGTCCGTTTCGTGGAGTAAGGTAGGGCAGATTCAATCCGAGTGTGGCTAGATGGCCCCAAAGGGAAACAAGCTGGGCCTCGTAACACGCCAGAGAGACCCAGATGCAATTTAAGAGTGGTTGTACCGCGGGAAAAAAGTCAAACCGGCTGTATACCTGCCCACGGGTTTGGCTTGTCCCAAGGAATCCCCCCGGGTCCGATGCGCGTGGCAGCCCACGAGGGAACCGTGGCCAACAAAGCAAAAAGATGCGGCGTCGCTAGAGGCAGGGTATCGTGGCGGCCGTAGCGGCACGGGAGATTTAGAGATGGATAAAGTGTGAAAGGAGCTAAAGAACTCTTTAGACGGTAGGCTGCTGTTGGTTGTTGGTTATTCTTGTTGGGCAACGACCAGAACCTCAGGCTGGAGCTAGAGCTGGAGCTAGAGCTGGAGCTAGAGCTGGAGCTAGAGCTGGAGCTTGATCCGGATCTGGAGAGATGGAGTTGGAGGTGACAACTCGGCCGGACGAGGGACGTTATGCAGCGATCTGCATGGCAACGTCTAAAGATGGGGGCTCCTTGGTATGGAAACCGGCTCTCTGGTAAAAGAGGCGTGCAGAGCAACAGGCAGAATGAGCGAGACGCAGGCGATAGATGATTTGATCGGTGTGAACGCCGACGTGGGTGTAAATGACTACATGTGAGTGGGTGATGGGATGTCTCTCGCAGTGGAGGGTGGGTTTGACCTGGTAATGATGGATGGAAGGAGCACACCTAGGCGGATGGATGACTAGGGGGTAAGGAATTAGAGCTTGGGTGAGGTATCCGTATCACATGTATCGACTGCTCCAGATGATGGTAAGCCGGGAAGGCACTCGGAAGAAGGTTGACAAGTACATAGAAGTGGGAAGCTAGCCTCCGATCGAACAGGTCAACAGCAAGTCAGTCAAGTAGCCGCAGCGCCACATAGCCAGCCGCTCCACGAGAGACCCGAGTAAAGGAACGGTGTTTGGATCGGGTCGGGTGCGGAAGTGAGAGGGGGGAGAGAGAGCGAGAGAGAGAGAGAGAGAGACGGATTGAATCAAAAAGGTAAAAATGATACCGAGGCAGGCGTATGCCGCAGAGCCAAAAGCCGAATGGCACACCCCCCCCATAACCGGGGCTCGTAGCGAGCGCGGAGTCAGGCCTTGTCAGGTGTCCTGCGCTGGGTTCGCCTCATAGAGTCAGGAATGTAGACAGGAGGAAAGCTTGAAGCGAGGCGTGGCATGGCATGAAATGGGTGGTGTGAGCGGTTGGTGCCTTGGGTAGGTGGATGAGAAGAGACGACAGGGCGTGTGAATGGGGAAGAGGTAGTCTGTGTATCATATACGGGAACAAGCCTTGACAAAACTTGCAAGGCGGCGTATACTTGACGACATTCTGTCGTTGACATTTGCTGTGTTGGTGAAATACACGGAAAGTTTCTGTAGGTAAGGTGGAGTAGAGTAAGACCAGAATGCATCAACAGGCGGAGGGATGGACGGACGACAGACAAGAGACGAGATGGGATGGATGAGATGGAAAGTGAAGCACACTCGGACCAGCCAGAATAAAGAAAAAACAAAAAGGTTGTAATGGGGGGGTGTGTCGACCGAGTCGTTCCTAGGTAGGTAGTTTACCTTCAGGTTCTCGCTCTGTGGCGGCAGTGGAATTGGCTTGGGACACACCAGGGGTTGTTAAGGCCACACCATCCATAGTATAGAGAGCTACTTGCCTGGATTCACAGGCAATATCTCTCTCACTCTCTCCACCGAGCATGAGTCTGGTGTACGTGTACGGATACACCAGGCGGAGCTAGCTCCTGCTACCTACCCAGGTTGGTAGGTACCTACGCTACACACCATCATCGGTGCTTCCCAGATCCAGTCGCAAAATTCGAGCCTTTTTTGCGTGACGTGACATTGCCGTGTTCTTGCTCTCATTCCCTCTCCGTTCTCTTCATACGCTGGAAAACAAGCCAGGCACAATGGAGGGATCTTGAGAGAGGAACAACAATAACAATGATGAAATAAATAAAGGTCAAAGTGTCCTTCCACACTGTTACCAGTCTCGTTTCGATTTTCCTACGTGACAACTGGGTCTGAGTAGTTGCCGTACCCAGCATGTTCAGGTCCGTCTTCCCCCCTTCCAATTTCCTCATGCGTGATTTGAGTTCCTCCTATTGGGGCTGCAGACGTTCGAACCACGCTGAATCGAGAAGAGAGTCTGTCTCGGTAAATGGATGAATCGGAAGGGGGAAGGGGAGAAACAGGGACCATGTCCTGAGCTGTTGCTGCTCTGGGCCCCCCCCGTTTCGGTGCAATACTGATGACGAGCCCCCCTGGACGATGGGCTGGAGGGATCGTAAAAGTTAAAAAGTTCGTGAGCACCCAGATGGCTGGATTTGGGGGCTTTGTTTATTACTGGTACTGCTCTGAGACAAGCCCGGTAGACCTGATCCGCCCGACTCCACCTCCCCTGGCGCACCGTTCGGTGGACCGCACGCACTAGGGAGCAAACAATTAGTTCTCACAATTGTTCGCATTCCTTTGTGAAGCATGACCTTCTGCTTATTGGTTTTCTATCCCGGCACGGCCTTGTCCGCCGAGAGACCCTGGCCAGCTGTTCGCCGGGGCTGTCGACGCACTGTATCTCGTTTCCAATGCCTTCCTAGTCTCGCCCTCGGTCTAGAGCGCCAGGCCCCGGAGAAAGGCCCTTAATGGCGAGACGAGGCGATATACTGACTGCCGGTGCCGAATGACGTACATGCATCACGGCCGACACCCACTCGGATCCAAGGCGGAGCAACGAATGGCTCGTCAGCTCCGGAGCGGAGAAGAGCGTTGGGAAAGGGGGGATGGGGAGGAAGAAGAAAAAAAAGAGAGACTTCATGAGGAGGACGTGACAAAGCCATCAGCTCTCACGCATTTCAGGTTTTCGAAACAGCGATGAACCATGCTATCAGTCTCCCATGGTTTGCGATCTCGCCGAGAAGAGGGATTCCGGACTTATGCCAATTCGTTATGCAGGCAAGGTAGCCGTTAGCCCGAAGCCAGGACCCAAGGTTGACTCAATACTTGAATCGTGCACCGATCGTATCCCCCCACTCCTCGGCTCCAAGGTCGAGCCAATTACCAAGCTCCTCCGGGCACTGGACTTCGAGACGCTTATTTGGCATTGGCCTATAATATGCGTCAAACCAGTCGTCGACAGCACGTATTCACTCAGTTTTGCCAGTTCAAGTCCGATTCCTCGTGTTTCGGACTCATTGGCCGAATCTCAATCAGCAGCAGCCTGTACTGGTGCGATTCAGTCAATGTTAGCGGGATATACTGATGTGCAACGAGGCGACCTGAGCCGTCTCGGATTGGGGACAACAAAGTACACGGTAGTAGCAGATTACGGGAGGGAAACGTTTCTAGTTGGAAAATGGTCCGAGTCGCCCCCCCCCCCCCCCCCATTCAAAGAAAAACGGGCATAATGGGCGTTGGTGGAGTAACGGGCAGGTAAAGACAACACAGGAGGAAGGGACTTGTTCCCGCGAGTCTTTTCTTTGACCAGACCAGTCGAAACCAATGGAAAGTCAGGAACGGAAGACGACAGGCTGCCATTTGGAATACTGGAAAGGGGGGCCGGCCGAGTCGATACACACAAGAGGCCTAACCCCCTTTCCGCCGACGACCGAGGATAATATCAAATGGCGTTCACGGCATGATCAGGCCTGGTTCGGCAACTGGGTGAGACTCGACGATGCCCAATCGTTGGAGGTGGTTGGAGCCTCACTTTCACCGCAGTCACCGAGTGCCAAATCCCGCACGGCGTCTGAGCGTCCTTCCGATGGATGGGGAAACCGAAGTGGCACGTTCGAGGAGAAGGTGCTTATTATGCAGAGAACTCCAGCAAAATGCTTTAGTGACCATTGCTGTACAAGACGTCTTTCTTGAAGCGTTTCTCGTTCGCTGTAAGTATGAGATGAGAATTTGCTGCATACTACTAGCATACCTACCGGTATGGTAAAGGCAACAGTTTCGCGCCAAAGGTACCGGTACTTGGCGAGCGCGTGTTGCTGTTCAAAGGTGAAAAACTATAACCCTTGCCCGAATATTGCAGCTGCCGGGGGGGGGGGGGGGCGCTATGGCCCAGTTGGGAAGTACTGGAAAGGAGTGGATAAGGAGTGAGGGAGGTTGAAGAAGCCGATGCAGCACCCCTGCCGAGAGACTAGGATTAACAGCCTGGGCTCGGTGGGTTCCTGAATGAGTGCCGGTGCCTTACTTGAGTGGCCCGGAGGGTACGGAATGCTGGTGAGGTATCTGTACATGCGAAGGTGGTAAGCTACTCCTAGCTGCTATACCTACAAATAATCAACTATTGAAGCTGCAGGGCCGAAACCCACCCTTCCCCTCTTTGCACTGGGGCACTTTTGGAGGAAGTGAGTCCTACTATGTACATCGTACGTAAACTAGCAAGGATTGTGCCTGAACGCAATATCTCGCACATGGCCGAACAGGTCTGTGAATGGCTGCCAATGCTCTATTGCGATGTTGCAGAGCGCAATAAGGTGGAGTTGGCCTGACATGCTCTCTCTGTAAGCGTATTCTGTAGGTACCTACTCATGGCCAGTCTAACTGTGGTATACGTACAGGAAACCCAGACTCGGGCCCTGAAGTCTCGATTGCTGTATTGTATACTACTACAATATAGGTAAGCTGAGGGGATAAGCACATGCATACGAAGTGCCTGTCATTTGGGATTGCATTAGCCGGAACGCTCCCTGGGCAGCAAAGCGACCTAACCTTACCTAATCTACCAAACCCTCAGGTGCGTTTGGAAGGTGAGGAGGAATGGTACTTTTGTGCGTGTGGTACGTGCGTACACATTGATTTCAGGCGAGGAGACGCCGGGAATCACTACGTAGTATCCGTATACAGTTACTCAGAAGTAGCTCCGTCACCGTACGGGATATTCCAGGCGCCAACGCTGCGAGTCTGTACGGAGGCCCACACCCGATGAGATCTCCAGCAACATGACGGACGGCGGTCCGGCGGGGTGAGATGTCAGGAAAAAAGAAGTCTAGGCCAGGCTAAGATATTGATCGTGCTGGGTGTCTTGCTCAGTCGCCATCTGTTACACTACCTACCCTGCCCGAGTTAAGGTATCATAGGTATGTTACCTACCAACCTACCTACCTAGTTACCTATAACGTAGTACCTATGCTTCTGGACCAAAGGCATCTTTGGCAAGAACGTTTCATCATGGTTCCCTCGGAGCACCATCGCGCCTTCCTCAGTTTCTCTCTTCCTTTAAAAAAGAAGGTTCAGCTGGAGATGAGCAAGGCGGTCTGAACCGCGTGTCGTGTACGGATACATACTCGTACTCGTACTCCCCGACTGGGTCCAGCGGTTCATGAATTGTCCAAGGTCGAATCCGCTGTGTATCTTTCTGTATTAGTCCTATCTCTGTGGAACTGGGTGGGGTTTCTCCAACTTTTCACCAATTTTTTCCTCATTGGCACTGCTTGCTTCCCAGGTCACTTTGACATCCGAACAACAATCACTACCTTGGTACACTGCAGACCCTGCAGAGTACACACCGAGCTGCTCACCACCACGCTATACCATCTCATCAGACGACGACTCTCGATGCTACCTGCACACGGCGAGTGACGAGGAAACCATTTCACGACCATCTCCTATGTCGATTTCGGTGCTCTCGCGTCTTCGTTTCGAACGTGTCTCTCATCATTTTGCAGGCCAATGACAAGGAAAACAGGGGGCTGGACAACATGAATTAGACGGAGAGTTATCAATCGCGAACCACAATGCAGATTCGCCACTGCCTCTTGCTCCTGCCTCGAAATACGTCGTGTCGCAGAAATAGGTACTCTAATGCCGGGACCATAAACCTTGAGCAAAGATAAAGCACAAGTGTGGTTACAGCATCGCGTGCCAGTGAAGCACTTGCCCACACACGCCTTGGGCAGCATGGCCCGATTGCCCAACCGGACTCGACGCATCACAGTACCGCAACCCACTTCGACGTTGTCTTCCAGTCGGGTCAATTGCATCCTCGACCTAGCCCAACCGAACCTGCACCTCCGCTCCGAGACTCAAGGCACGGGTACCATGGTTTCGGATGTACGACACAGCACTGGGCAGACAAAGCTAGCGTAAAGCGCGCTACGGACGGTGCTTGTGCCGTCTGTCCCATTAGGTACCTCTACCACGGCAATACGTTGACAATTTGAAATGGTTGTGTCGCCCTCGACTCGTGGGCCGCACCCTCTTCGTCCACTTTCCATCTCAAGCAAGGTACCGGCCGTCACGCCGCCGTTGGATATTTTCTTCTTGGACGATCTCAGCCTCACACAAGGCCACCATCGTCGATCATCTCAACCGACACCTGGTTGATCCCCGCAGCTCGCCACGAGATCCTCTCTCGTCAGAGGAGCAAGTCAGCACAGAGATAGATCCTTCCCCGACTTTGGATCCGATCCCTTTATCCACTTACATGGACCGCCTCAAGAAAGATATAACGTCAAACAATGTCGGACGGACGTAGCCCCCGGTAGTCTCGCCATCGCATTACATCATACTGTTCCGATATTGTTCTCCCATTATATGTATTGTCGTCCCAAGCCTCTAACCTATTGTTACCCCTCTTGTGCCCTGTTCGTCGGCTGGTGGGAGTTGTATCAATCACACTTCTTTCCTCTCAAGTCGCCTTGGATCCCTCGGCACGCCTCCTCCTCGCCCTGATCATGGTCGCGAACCCACACCGAAATCATGAAGGGATGATCGCTCTGCTCGATTTGTGCCGCCGCCTTACCTGATCTGGTGAAACCGCCCGACTCGTGTGTCCACCATCTCTCTCAACTTACTCCATCCTCCAACTAAATCACCGACTGGACTGCCAGGCCATCACTGCAAACGGCCACAGGGGATGAAACCGGCTCCACGAACCTTGGATTGATTAATTCTGTGCTTCTAGAAACCTTCGGCGACAAGGACGGATTCCAGTGTCTGTGCACTCGCTGCCGTCTCCTTTAAGGAGCTCCATTGCGTGGGAAATTGAAACAACGCAGTCGCCTGACGTGTTTCTGCAACGACGGCCATGATGGGGCCGTCATTACTAGTCTCAACGCCAGAGACGTCGACGCGCGTGTTCACGGATCAATTTCAAATTTTTGACATCTTTCGTACGCCCGCAGCTCTGCACAGGTGCCAGCATGTGGCCTCTGATCCCGGCCTAACATTGACACTTGAGGGTGACCTTGACTCCTTCCAAGACCCGGTTTCAGTGCACGCCGATTTATTAATAACATAGAAATACGTACACGGCCACTCCGTACGTACGACAACAGTTGCAAGTGGTCATTGCACGCCATAGTTACATGAGCCGTATCAACTAAAGGACACATCTCGGCCACTTTCACTGACTTCATTTGAGGAAGACATCATGACTTCTAGAGAAAGAGAGAGGGGGGGTCAGGTGGAGTATAATCGTGTCGTTGACCACCGGGAGGTATCAATCATGGAGTCTGTCTCGATGGGTTTCAGATCGCATCTGGTTTTTGGATCGGTCCACGTGGACATTCACTTCCACTCCCTGCTCTGTGCCCGATCCTGCGTTTCTTAGCTGCGTCCAGGATAAGGGCCTTTGTTGCTCGAGATACCAGGTTTGCTTCTCCATCAATTACGAGGGCCGGGATCCAACAAGGTAGAACATGGCATTGGCGCACTCAACGCCAAGTCGACGGTCTTTGGCTGACACAATAGCATGTCTCCCAATATCGTTAGCATCTCAGCACGGTAATATCACCAACGTTTGTGGTTCCGGCAATGCCGACATCGGGGTATTTCCAGGTCCCTTCGAACCGCGTTACCTAGTTCTCAGGCCCGATCCGTACGCTGGGCGGGTTGCTTCGGTCGCAGTGGACCGCAACGTCATGACATGGGAACATCTACGAATACATCACACCAGGGGATCGCCGACTGTCTGGGGTGCAATACTGCAGCGCTGAAATGCAAGGCAAACGTACATCATAGGCTGGCATTGTGAGAGCTGCCTCTGTTCTATGAATACATAGGGGTGGTAGTACAACAAAAAGGTAGCATGGGTGGCGGATGACACCGTTACCAATCGCACAGGAGGCAAGAAACGCTCTATCTCTTGACCCAAGCAGGCATC